AAGCACATCGACAAAATAATGCACGTTCAAATTTATTTGGCAAGACAGGCAGAAACAACAGGAACAGTAAAGAAGTCGGATCTACCAATGGCTCCCTCCCACCGCCCGTCTTTACAGGTACCGTAAACACTACATAACATAATAAAAGTGTGTATCTGTAATTACAGAGGATCTCTGTGATTGAAGAGTTATCTGAATTTTATTCCATAATAAAATGTTTAAAAATATACGTTCATAATATTTTTCACAGCAATGTATTTTCAAACCTGACCTGCCCTTTAAATATACATGTACAAGCAAACATGTCACGCCTTTATTCTCCAGAGCTGGAAAGTTCGTTTTATGATAACACATCATTTGTTATGAGGAGCGGTTGTTGTTTTTAAAAAAATTCTTATCTGTTTTATTTTGTTTATTTTTTTTTCTTCGTCTTTTTTTTCCCTGAAAAGGGTTTGGGGGGGGGGGGGGGGGTGTCTAAATAAACACGAATAATGTTCTGTGTCGGAACCACTATACCGCACGGGAGCATTATTTGAGCTACGTTTTTGTTTTGTTTTTCTAACGGAAACGAATTTGCATTGTGATGTAAACCATACATGTATATGTATATGATCCGTCTATACAGATCCTTTTAGACCGCGGGCCGTGTTAACATTGTCTGTGTATTGGGCCAACTCAGGTTGTTGAGTTGTGAGAACACATATCTGTACAGCGAGGGCGTACCGTTAGCAAAGTTGTACTACGGAGCGGATGATCCTGGCTCGAATCCCCATCGAAGCGTTCAGAACTTGAGTTGTTCGGGGGAGTTTCTCGGGCTCTCTGCCCATTTGGCTGGGTCATGTCGGAGATGGATGTTAAATGTGGAGGTCCCTCCTCTTCTTAAATAACCTATAATGTTGAAAGGGGAGTAAACCTATAAAGTTGCTTTTCAGCACAGAGATAGGCCTCATTCATTATCATCTAACTGTTTTCCTCCACTTGGGCATCGAATTTACAATGTACGAGCTTTACTTACAAGGCGACAAGTTAATCGTACCAATATTACAAACGATTCCAGTAAGACAGGAGCATCGTATTATTAATTATAATATTATGTATTTTTAATTATAATAGTATGAACTTGTCGCGTTTTGGTAGGTACGTTAGCAATAACTTTAAAAATATAAAGACCAAGTTTTTCTTTGCAAAAAAAAAAACAAGGCACCCCCCCCCCCCCCCCCCCCCCCCCCGCGGGCCAAAAAAAAAAGGAAGTAAAGAAATGAAAATAAACAAAAAATTTAAATAAATAAATAGAATTATAAACAGATAAATAGATCAAAATAAATAAAGTTAGAGTAGATAAATAAATAAACGGATCCTTGGTGGAGCTAAGGATAGGACATAGAACGGTGTCAGTTTACCTGAGCCTTCTGTGAGGGGGCAAAGATAAACAACACATTGTGTAATACCGGGTGTGTCATGTGTCAGGGACGATCCTGGGAACTGGGAACTCGGGTTTTCTTAAGAGAACATCCTTGATCGTTTTTAACTTTTTAATCCAGCGGTTTCTAGAGTTACGGTGTGTGTATTACCCGAAACGTATACATGTAGGCTGGAGCCTTAAACCGTCTATTAATAATTAATGTCACCATTTCGGGATAGGCGCGACACACATTTATAATCTCGTACGTGCCGTTTATGTGGTGTTTTTTGGAGGTCGGGTTTTCTGTTCCGATATAAAATAACAATGAACAGTACGCGGGCGGGCGGGCAGGTGTGGCGTTCTTGTGTGGGTGTGACCGTTATTGTTCTCATGACGTTGTCAGTGGCAGTGGGTGGACCAAAACTTGGGTGGGGCTTAGGTTGCTTCCAGTTCTTTACCACCAAATAGCAAGCAATAAGAATTAAACAGTGATGATTTTTCTATACTCAGGATGAGCCACGTCAGTTTGAGAACCATTCAAACGAGAAGAGTTGCCTTTGTTTTTCATCTCTTTGTTCTTACTTAAATTCTTGTTGATGGTGGGAACGAAGCTGATTCACCTCCAAATTTCCTCTAATTAGTTTTCGTGTGATGAAAAAGTTTCCTTACAAGTAGTTCGACCTGATTTATAACTGTTAAATCTCAGCGGCACGAACACAAACATGAACACACAGCACTTCAAACATAATACTTCTTTGAGCTGGATTAGGCCGTGTAGTCGAGAAAGTTGAACTCACCCAACAAAGAACCAATGAGCGCATGTGTATCTGTGTCAGTAGGGGAAAGTGTGTAGTAAACTTTCACCCCATTGTCAGGGCTAGGAGAGCGTGAGCCCTCGGTACAATGTTATTTTTCCCCAATCTTCAACCTTTTTACAAGAAGAGTTTCATTAAGGACGGACTGTGGGAAAAGGGCTCGTCTTTACTGAGCCCTAAAGACATTTGATTGGCTGCTGGGTTACTATAGTTGTAAGCGGGGACAACAGTGATTGGATAAGCGAGCAAGCCGCCAAGTTGATCACTCTGTGTTCATTGCGTGCGGTCATAACGGTTTCAACTGCTTATTTCATTATGGAGAAACTTTCCTTTGCTTTGGGATAGAGTTGGGTGGTGGTGGGTGGGGAGGGGTTAGGGGCTCAAGCCCGTGAGCCCTTCACTACCCACCGCCACTGGTCACGTTGTTGGCCTACTTGTAAGACATGGATGTAGCCCCGCTGTGACCCCCACCCCACGGACAGTGACCCCGGATGTTGCACACAAGGAGGCAAGCAGTCTGAATAGAAAGGGGACTGGGGGTTTGTGTGGGGTTTGTTTGTTGTTGTTGTTTTGTTTTGTTGTTTTTTTAAATGGGGGGGGGGGGGGGGCAGGGGGTTTACTTCGACGAGATCGCCAAAAGTGTTGTTAGCCCCCTGTTTGCGTGTTGAAAGGACCGAGTTATTACATGTATGTATCATGAACAAGGACATTGACCATGAGTGAGATCATTCAAAATTGCGTTTAGCGGAAACTTTCTGGGGAAGTACACGTAATATAAAAGGCTAAAAGGGAAAGTCAACCGTTTCTCTTTGCTTATCCTCTTTGTCTGTGTCCATCTTGAATTTCTCTTTGCTAAATGACTGTTGTTAGTGGTATTGTTTGAAAGTCAAAGTACTTCTCTTTACTCAAAACGACAGTAAAGGTAGAAAATAAACCGAACTCTCTTAGTATTAGTGTAACATTACTTGATCCCTTTATACCTAAAGTATCCGTTCCTTGGATCAATCGTCTCAGATGAAGGTTCAAGACCAAAAATTCTCTCCAGAATCGCACAAACAACAGCTGCGCTGTCAAAACTGAAGCCTATTTGGAGGGACAGAAACATCACGCCCAACTAAAATTCAGACTGATGCGCTCACTGGTAATCTCAATATTTTTATGCGCCTGCGAGTCGTGGACGCTGACGGCAGAATTAGAGAAAAGGATTCAGACCACAGAGATGAGATGTTACCGCAGACTCCTTGACATCTCGTACAAAGACCACGTTTCAAATGCTGAGGTACGAAACACAATCACCAACGCAGTGGGGCTGCATGAAGATCTACTGACCACTGTGAAGAGACGAAAATTAAAATGGTATGGGCATGTCACAAGATCCACAGGACTTGCCAAAACAATCCTACTTGGAACCGTACAAGGAAAGAGACAGAGAGGAAGGCAGAGAAGGAGATGGGAGGACAACATTACAGAGTGGACAGGAAAGACGATGGGTGACAATCTGAGGAAAGCAGAGGAAAAAGATAAAAGGCGAGAGCTGGTTTTCAGATGCAGTGATGCCCCAACGGTTGCCTCAACCAAGGGATAGAAGAAGAAGAAGAAGAAAAAGAAGAAGAAGAAGAAAAAGAAGAAGAAGAAGAAGAAGAAGAAGAAGAAGAAGAAGAAGAAGAAGAATCCGTTCCGGTCACCTGGTGGGCCAGGCCAGACCGAGGAAGTTCATTGCAGTCACTCTCCTGGCAGAGTGACCAGATGGGGTATTTTGTACTGCTGGCTGTGTCACTGCAAAGTGTTTTTAAAAAATCTGGTTCGTCTTGTTAGTTGAGAAAACAAGTGTCGAAGCAAAA